AGATCAATAACTGATGAAACACTACCACTATAAAGGTCATCCTCACATTATAGGATCATAACATTTTACATATTTTAACATCAATGAAATGGGCTTTGAGATAAATTGCTTCCAATTCCTCATTTTACACAAGTAAAACTGCAGTCCAAACAGGTGATTTTCTGAATCATAGTTAACTACAAAACCATTAACAGAAAATATAGGGACTTCTGGTAAGATGGAGGAATAAGCAGATAAGCTACACAGATCCTCTTCAACGAAGAAAAGAGAAACCAGCTGACAAAGATACAGAAGATAATACTGGAGCCCTGAGTTTTGAAAGAAACTGTACAGAAGTGGATTAGGCACCAAGTAGCAGAAAAACCTGAATGAAAACAGTAATACGGAGATGATCAGAGCACTGGACTGTCAGCTACTCTGACAGGACCAACAGCCTGAATATTTCCAAGTGGTGTTGGGACCTGAGAATTGACCTAAAGATCAATCCTGATCACCAGGGGCTGCAGGGATGACTGCGGTGGTGGCCTTTGACTAGAAAGGGAAACAGCAAGGAGGGAGAGAACCTGAGCTGTGGACTTTCCACTGTCCAGAGCCATTTTGATTGTTTACAAGCAACAGCCATTTTGGATATTTAAAGTGACTGAGGGCACAGCCATTCTGAATGTTTGCAAGCAGTGGCCATTTTGAATATTTAAAGTGACTGAAGGCACAGCCATTTTGAATCTTTACATGTACTGGCCATTTTGCATATGTAAAGTGACCAAGAGTGCAGCCATTCTGAATCTTTACAAGTAGCGGGCATTTTGGATTTTAAAGCAACATCATTCTCATTCGGATCCCAGAGACCTAAGAATAAGCTCCATTTTCTAAGGACAGCAGGGACATACAATGGGAAAGGAGATACGTGGTGAGTGTGTAAGTGCTGCCAACTAGTGAATAGAGGAGCACAGTACCCTGCTTACTTAGATAAAATCCAAAGAATACAAAAGTCATGGGCGTCACTTCAACATATAGTCACCAATTAAAAATAAACACAAAAATATCATAATACCTCAGAGACAAAAGAGCATCACAGTGCACACCAAGAAGCAAGATAAAGCAGGAGAAACAAGGGACCACGATACAGACCCAAAATACATCCCTGAGCTTGGAACTCCCTGATAAGGAATTCAAAAGAATTATATTTAGGTATCTTCAAAGGAATGAGAGACAGATCAAGGAAGAAACAGAGAAAATTCTAGTTCTAATTTCAAAAGACAATACAAGAACAAAATGACAAAATAAATGAAAAATCAGAAATGATACAAAATCTACACACAGAAATCCAGAAGATTAATACTAAATTTTCAGAAACAGGTAAGACACTGAATGGGCAAAGGAGTAGAATTGAATCAATGGAAGCCAGAATTAGTGAGCTTGAAGACAAATATCTCAACACTTCTTTAGAAAGCGATCAGTCAGAAAAAAGATCAAAACAAAATGAAGAAAGCCTAAGGTTCATGCAAGATACCATCAAAAGGAATAATCTATGTGTCATCAGAATTCCAGAACAAGAAGAGACAAATAAAACCACAGACAAAATTATCAAAGATTTGTTGGAAGAGAATTTTCCTGGTATGATGAAAGGTGAGAATATATCCATTCAAGAAGTCCAACGAACCCAAAACAGGATAGACCCCAAAAGAAAATCACCCAGACATATCATCATCAAATTCACCAAAACCAAAGACAAAAAAAGAATCATAAAAGCTGCATGGTAAAAACAAAAAGTTGTCTACAAGGGGCAGCCAATAAGAGTAAGCTCAGATTTCTCAGCAGAAACCATGCAAGAGAGAAGACAATGGGATGGTGTGATAGTGGGAGCTGTGTGTCAACTTGGCTGGACCATAATTCTGTGTGGTTTAAGCAGTTGTGATGTGGTTATTCCCATGAAGGGATCAGATGAAAACGTTTTGAGGAGCCAATCCATTGAAAGGGAGTTTCCTGAGGGGTGTGGCCTGCTTACAGTATATTTATGGACATCCTGGGAAAAGAGACACTCTTCTGTGGATCAGGATTCTGTTGTGCTGCCTACAACTTTCCATGAGCAAACAATCCACCATTCAGCCTGGAGATCTTGGATTCGTCATTCATTGGAGTCAACAGCCAGTATACTGCCTGCCAACCTTGAGCTTCTCAGCCCCTGCAGCTGCATGAGTCAGGAAAAGCCTCCAGCTTGATGCTTGATCCAAGAACTTTGGACCTGCCAGCTTCTATAAGTGTGTGAGCTATTTTCCTAAGATAAATTTTATCTTTATATATATAAGCTTTACTTGTTTTGTTTCTCTAGAGAACCCAGTCTAACACAGATGGTATATATAAAACCCTAAAAGAGAAAAATTTCCAACCAAGAATTATGTACTCAGCAAAATTGTCCCTCAAATATGATGGTGAAATTAGGCATTTCCAGATAAGCAGAAATGAAGGGAATTTGTTAAAACCAGACCAACCTTACAAGAGATGCTAAAGGAAGCCCTTTGGACAGAGAAGCAACAACAGCAAACAACAACTGACCATTAACACACGTGGTGACATAACCCAGAAACCAATCCAGCTACGGAAGTATCTAAAGTAAGTAAGCCTACAAGATTGTAAACAGGAAACCAAAGACATCAATTGACAAACGAGGACAACTACAAACCAAAAAGAGAGAAAAAACTGTGTAGTTACAGAACTTCTAAATGGTAGGAAAGTCAAAACAACTACAAGATAAAACAGACTGTTCTAAACCTGCTGAGAAAACTGTAAAACCCAGGGTAATCTCAAAAAGAGGACCAGCACAAATATTTAGCAAATACTAAAACAATAGCAACAAAGGAAGTGATAACATGATTCATAAAAAAAAAAAAACGAGCTCAATACAGAAAATTACATAGAACAAAGAAATCAACACCATGAAAAAGCACATAACAAAAATGACAGCAACAAATTCATACTTGTCAATAATTACATAGCTGGCAAGGGACTTCTCTCTAAGATTTATAGAAAAGTCCAATGCCTCAACAGCAAAGGAATTAACAATCCAATTGAAAAATGGGCAGAAGACATGAATAGACACTCCCTTCACCAGGGAGGACATTCAGGTGGCCAGCTAATACATGAACAGATGCTCATGATCATTGGCCATCAGAGAGATGCAAATCAAAACAATGAGATATTATCTCACCCCAGCACTGATGGCAAGGTTCAACGAGACAGAAAATAACAAATGCTGGTAGGGATGTATAGAGATTGGAACTCTCATACACTGCTGGTGGGACTGTGAAGTGATAAAACCACTGTGAAAAGCAGTATGGCAATGCCTTAAAAAGCTGGAATTGGATATATCATTTGACCCAGCAATCCCATTACTAGGTATATATCCTAGAGAGATGAGAGCCAGGACAGGAACAGATATACGGACACCCATGTTCATTGCTGCACTATTTACAACAGCAAAAAGATGGAAACAACCTATGTGCCCATCAGTGGAAAAGTAGATGACCAAACTACGGGACATAAACACAACGGAATGCCATGCAGCACTAAAGAGTAATGTAGAGTATGCAAAACACCACATAACATAGATGAACTTGGAGGACATTATGCTGAGTAAAATCAGACAACTACAGAAGGACAAATATAGTATTAGTTAATTCTTGTGGAGGATCTAGGAAAGGTTTATATATGGAGGGCAACTTTCTTTGTTGGTTGCTAGGGGTGAGAGGGCAGGAGAGGGAACACTGGGAAAAAAATGCATTGACCCATGCTACTTTAGTTTCATATTTTTCATTGTACATAAATTATATTTCAATAAAATGCATTTAAAAAAGAAAATGTAACCCCACAGTTCTCATGAAATAAAGAAATTCGGCAGAAATGTTCAATTATAACTCTTTGAACTACATGTAACAGTCTTTTGTCAAAGTGCTGAAGCGTATTTTGAAAAATTTATTCTCTGACTTGTGTTAATATCCTCAAAAAAATCACTCCAAAAAAATTACTATCCCATTTTAAAGAATACATTAACTATATATTTTTCAAGATTTTCTAGAATGTCTATATAATTGAGTTGTATAACTCTATTTCTCTCAGTTAACTGCCTTTACAAAACTCCTTATTAACACTGTCTTCCACTCTCCCCAAAGGTAGAAATATTAAAAAATAAAAAATCCTAAATGAAAACACCTGTTTTCTGTAATATTGAAAAAAAAAAATTCTAAAATACATGTCACTGTATTCATCTGTGATCCTTATAATATGAAGACTACTATGTATGACATATTTCTATCACAATTCAAGATCAGACATTAGTTTACTTCCTGATGCTAGGAATGGGGAATGTTTTTGCCTGCTCTCCCAGGGAGCATTTGGCAATGTCTGGAGATATTTTTGGTTGTTACAACTGTGGAGGGGGTGGGGAAGTGGGGCTACTCATATCAGTTGGCAGAACTCTGCTATCTTACAATGCATGGAAATCCTCCCACAACAAAGAATTATATGGCTCAAAATGCTAAGAGTGCTGAGGCTGAGAAACCCTGAAATAATGAGTTATATAAGCCTCTGTTCCCACTGCTAACCCAGTGTGTGCTCTCCCTTCCTCACTTACCACTTTTCTCCCCTCTACATCCACAATGGTAGCTCTGGTGGCACAGTGCCTAAGGCATTTGACTGCTAACCAGAAGGCTGGTGGTTCAAACCCACCAGCCCCTCCTCAAAAGGAAGATAGGGCAATCTACTTTCATAGTGATGCCTCCTTGGAAACCCAAGGAGGGGTGCTATGAGTCAAAATCAAAATTGACTTGACAATAGAGTTTATTTTTTTTTTTAATTTGTTTTGTTTTGTTTTGTTATATCCACAATGCAGTAAACTGTTCTAGTCAGTAATGAATATTTTTCTGGGAATATACTTTTAATTGTCAATACTATATTAAATCAAGGATCAGCCAGTATTTTATACTTGATAATATAATGTTTCTTACCTTAAATAGACAATGGCATATATATTCATAAACCATGTGCTTCAATGAGCTGACAAGAGACTGGATTCTCTGTTCTGTATTTTCAGAATCCTGTAAATTATAATTTGAAAATTAAAAACTATTAGGAAATTGATACACATAAAAGGTATCCCATAGTTTAATCACTCTTACATACTATTCCTCCAGATTCAAAGCTTACTCTAGAACAAAAATCTGTCTGTCAAACTTGAGGAACTAAACAGGTAAGTGCATTATATGTGTATACTAATATAATTGAAAAAAAGATGTATTTTTCTTTAATGCATGGAATTAAACCTTTCAAGCAATTAAAATTGCAATCAGTTTCTAATAATGTAATATTGCTTAATATTAAGTTGACCATGCCAATTTCATGTCTACTGAAATAAAAATAAAAATATTCTCTGCATTAATCTGCATTAAAGTCATATAAAATTACTTGTACTATAAAGAAGGCTGGCGGTTCAAACCCACCAGCCACTCCTTGGAAGGAAGGTTGAGCAATCCTACTTCCGTAGTGATACTGCCTCGGAAACCCAAGGAGGGGTCGCTATGAGTCGGGGCCGACTCGACGGCACATAACAACAACAACATAATTATCAACCCAGTAAACTATTATGAATTTAACAACAAAAGAATTTGTCATCCTCACTGAGAACCTAAACATTCTTAAACTATGCTCTGCTGGTTAAATAAGTACAGTAACTTTGAAAATGATACTGTAAAAACTTGTTTTTCATCTGCTTTTGTACTTCCATTGTAAATGGAAGGTGAAGCAAAAGCCAAGATATGACAAGTTGTCATTAATTAGCCTTTTTTTTAAATCAATGAAAAATTGTTTGAGGTAGGAATGGCAGGGGGAGTTGTAAAAGCTGGTCTTTTCTCTAAGCATGATAGTAGCTTTATGTCTTACTTCAGGGAGCCTTTGGAGAATATATGCATCAGAAATTTAATTATCGTAAAATAGTTAGACTAAATTTGCTTGCTTCTCATGATTACAACTGATAAAAGAAAACTAACCTAATGAAAAAATTTAATGGCTTAGAGAAATTTATCTAGAAATCAACAGTGAAATTAGCACCAGGTATTATGAATTGGCACTTAGATATATCAAAACCATGCATCTAACCCTTGTTGTAGCATGTTTTAACCAAGAAAGCTCATTATCCATTCACAGTTCAGATGGCAAACACACCTTTTCATTTTACTATTTTATTAATAAAGATCACATCTGAAATTGAGAAGAAGATCTACTAAAAATCATACTCTCTTAAGATACCTACATGATCTGGTGGCTTTTCAAAACACTAAAAAGCAAATTTTCTACTCTATATATTTAAAATTCTATTACTTTTTAAAGTAAATTCAAATGCACTGCACATCCACACATATACTCCAGCACACAGAGGTGAATGGCATTCAATAGCCATACTACCACAGAACTACTGTTACTGAAAATGGCAATGTTCTTATTAAATCCAGTTAGTGTGACTAACCTATTTATCAGTTATCAATCATACTTTAAGGAACTCTGGTGGTATAGTGGTTAAATTATTTGGCTGTTCACCAAAAGGTTGGTGGTTCAAACTCACAAGCTGCTCCACAGAAGAAAGATGAGGTGGTTGGCTTTCATAAAGATTTACAACTTTGGAACCAAACTGGGGTCCCTATGAGTCAGAATCAACTCAGTGGCAGTGAGCTTTTTACAAAATATATATATACTTTATAGAGGGAGCTCTGGTAGCATAGTGCCTAAGGCACTTGACTGCTAACCAGAAGGCTAGCGGTTCAAACCCACCAGCCACTCCTCGGAAGGAAGGTTGGGCATTCCTACTTCCGTAGTGATACTGCCTTGGAAGCCCAAGGAGGGGTCGCTATGAGTCGGGGCCGACTCGATGGCAAATAACAACAACTAACAAAGAGGAAATGAATTTTTTAACATGTATATTTTTGACTATAAGATAAAGAATTTAAAATGTATGCATTACCATGTATATTCTAAATAAAATATGGGAAATTTTTAATGCAAAAAAACAATCAGAAATCAAACCCACTGCCACTGAGTTAATTCTATCTCACAGCACTCAGATAAGAGCAGGAGAGGACTGTCCCATAGGGTTTTCAAGGTATAAATCTGTATGAAAGCCAATTGCCACATATTTCTCTTGTGGAGCAGATGGTGGGCTCAAACCACAGACCGTTAGGTTAGCAGCTGAGCACTTTAACTACTGCACCTCTAAGGCTTTGATGCAAAAAAAAGATACGTGTAAATGACTCTTTAGTTTTAGAGACTGACATAGTTAATCAGATATATGATTAATCATATCTCATGAACCAATTCTCACAGATTTTATACATTCTCAAGATTTTTGATAAAACACTTCCATCAAGAGAATATTACAAATGATTTGACTAAATTTAACATATTTTAAATTTCAAAAATATTCTTAAGAAACTAAAGTACAAAACACAATTATTTCTTCAGTCTTTTTCCCCTCTTGAAATGTTGTGTTTGCCCAAAGGACAAATATACGTGGGGAAAAAAAGCTTATCTTATTTACTATGACTGAATAGACAGATATTTGCTAACAAAACCTACCCTCAAAGCCCAAGCTCTTCATTACATGCCACTTTATTTCAAATTTCACTGTACGAGCAACTTCAAATGAGATACTTTAGTGTAAAAGAAACCAATAAAAATCTAATCATTATTTATAAGAAAATAAAGCTTTTCTAAAATAATTCATTTGTAAAAACATAAAATACTTCACCTAATCAAGATAGAGTTTTGTTTTGTTTTTTCATGTTTTCTTGCACTCTTTGGAAGGAAGGTTGGACAATCTACTTCCATAGTGATACTGACTCGGCACCCCGCAGAGGGGTCGCTATGAGTCGGGTCTGACTTGACAGCACATAACAACAACAATAATTTCTCTGTTATCTATCCCAAGCGTGCAGAACAACGCCTGGCACACAGTCAGCCTGCCATAAATGTTTACTAAGTGAATAATAACCTCTGCTCAGAAAAACAGATTTAAGTAAACCTACTTGAATATGCAATTGTGCTCCCACATTTAACTGAAATTTATCTCTCCCAAAAAACAGTAATAAAAAGAAGTACTCCTATTAATATTAATACCAAACATAAAAGCCATTAAAAATAATTTTGATATGTTTGGATTTATAAAGATAATTTTAAATAAAATAAAAAGTCAGATAAACAGAAAATATTTGCTATACATGACAAAGGTCTAATGCCCTTCATATATAAGAATGTCTTACAATTCAATTTTTAAATATTAATAACACTATGAAAGAGACAAGGGGTGTAAAAACAAATAAGTAAAACAATATAAATGCCATACACTCCTAATGAATATTTATCTTAGAAGTGATTAAAAACTTGAAAATATAGTATTTCCAATAACCTAGTAAGACAAGACTTAAAAGATTTATAATATCCATTATTGCTAAAGATTAGATAGAAAAAGATGCTTTCAGTGAATCAGTTTAAAACACTAGCATATATTTCCAAAGAGTAATTAGACAATACTTGTAAAAAGGCTTTTTCACATTTTCTTGCTCCAACTATCGAACTCTAGGAATGTAACTATGAAAGTAACTGGAGAAACAAAACACTCAAAAAGGAAGAAAAAAAAAAGTGTCGGAGCTATTTTAAAGCTTAGCCATAAAATTCTTTGAAACTCTTTTTCTTGAGAGTTTTCCTGAGAGTCTATGTCCCCTCCCCTTGAATCTGGGCAGGCTTGGGACTGCTTCAATCAATAGAATACAGCAGAAGTGGCATTGTATGACTTCCACGCTGAGTTATAAATGGTGATTTAGCTTCTGTCTCTTCACAGGAATACATAAAGTTGGTGCTTCCAGCTGTAATATAAAAAGTCCAAATACCCTGAGGCTGCCATGCTATGAGGAAGCCAAATCAGCTATTTCAGTCATCAAATTCTTCCAACACAGCCACCAGCCACGCAAAAATGAGCCTGAATAAGGCACCGCCATGTGGAACAGAGGCAAATCTTCCCTGTTGTGCTTTGACCAAATTCTAACAGAATTCATGAACAATAAGACAATGCCTATTTAACAAATGGTGTTGGCAAAACTGGCTATTTATTTGTAGATAAATGAAACAGGATCCATACCTAACAACATACACAAAAACTAACTCAAAATGGATCAGCAATTTAAATGCTAAAGCCAAAACTACCCTGGAAGATAATACTGGTACAAAATTATGGGACCTAATTTTTTTTTCAGTAATAGATTACCAAACACAACTACATATGCATGACCAATAGAAGACAATTTAGATAACTGGGACCACATAAAAATTAAGTAATTTTGTCCTCAAAAAAATTTTTGCAAAAGAGTAAAATAGTAAGAGGACCTAGAGATTTGGACAAAAATCTTTGTGAATGTTAAAATTGGAACTCAAACCACTCTCAGAGGTCACCTACCAGCCAAAAGACAGAGCAGCTCATAAAATAAATATCACCCATGAGCACTAAACAATCATCTAAATGAGACTGAAAGGCCAACATTTACTGTAGACTACACGTTAAAAGGTAAACGGGACAAGGAAGCTAGATTAATGGAAACAGAAAAACCAGAAAGGGAATTATGAAAATTCTGAAATATCGTGAAAAGTGTAATCCATGTCACTGAATGATATGTATAGCAATTGTAAATGAACTTAATTTTCTATGTAAATTTCCCCAAAATCACAATAAAATATTTAAGAAAAAAAAAAGGATAATGGTTGTTTTAGTCTGCTAAATTAGGGGCTAATATGATACTCAGCAATGATAGCAATGATAATGAGAAAAAATGTCCATATAGGAGCTGGTTTATTAAAGTATAACATAGCCTCACAATGTTTTTTAGAGATTGTAGAATATTTATTGACATGAAAGTTGTCCACAATATAATAATAAGTATTTTAAAGTACGGTGTGATAACTTTTTGTTTAAAACCATTTGCTAGCCTTTAAATATATCCTTCCCTTCATTAGAATACAAGCTTGATTACACAAAAGTTTTTGCCTATTTTGTACAGTGCTGTATCCTCATTATCTAGAGCAATACCTCAAACAAGGATATATAATGGAATGTTAAGTGTAGCTTTCCCAAGTGATGGGATTATTTTATCTTTATATCTTTCATCATGTTTTTTTAACAATAATCTCTTAGCTATTAATTTATTTGTGAGAATATAATTATTTCCATTAAAAAGACTATCATATTGAGCCTGTTTGAGAATAAAAAAAGTGGAAAAAAAATTGGTTTATTTCAAATATTCTTTAAATGTGTTATATACAACTTTTTGAAAACATAATTTTATGCAAGTTTTCTCAGGAAGTTACCATTTTTACACACCTTAGTAAGGTAATCTCTCTTATTCCCCCTCAGTGAAGGGTGACCAACGGCATACCTGTTCGTTTTGCAGAGCTCGTTGGAAAAGTCGTAGAAAGGCAACCAAACTAAAACGATACATGTTATTAATTTTGGACAGGTCAGAGATAATAAAGTACATCTTGCTGGCACTCTCAGCCAGAGGAAGATACGCATCCCGCTCCTGCGGATCATTGGTGGGAGAAAGAAAAACACATATTAGTGCTTTACTGCCACCTACTGACCACTATGCACATATCCAGCTACAGACCTACAATACATTCATATAACAAATGAAGACAAAGAATGATAGAATTTTTTAACTAAAAACCAGTCTTTCTTCCTTATTTTTATGAAATTATGGCGAAAATATTTTAAATAATTTTCTACCTTTCAAATGAAAGAGATAGGAGTGCTTTGTGGATTTGTCTTAATGAGAGCAAAAAGCATTCATTAATCCTAGAGGTAAAAGAGTAAGATGGATTGACAAACAGCTGTGATCACAGAAAAGACGATGTAATTTTACATTTCAGAAAAGAATTGGTTTAGATAATGCAAGAGGGCTTGGAACTAGTAGATTATTGCTGCAGTAAAGAAAAAGTTCCAACTATGAAACTATTACATGAGATTGATGCCAACAAGAACACTGATGGAACTAGAGAATAGATTGTAACAGGCATCCCAAAAAGATAATAACACCTAAGAATCTAAGAATAGAAAGAGGAAATAATCTCATTGAAAGTGTGATCAAAGCACTGGGATTCTAAATATAATATTGGTGAAAATTATGTGTGACTCACTCAGCAATAATTGTTAAGAAAGAGATGGCACAGAAAATTAAAAATCTTATTGTTAGAAAATGACAGTGACCACATTTGTAAACTTTAGTCTTAGTAGAGAAGGTGTAATGATTGGATTGGAGTCAGGCTCTAAGATTGCTCTTATTCTGGTTTCAGCAGAGCTCAATCCCAAGGAAAAAGGTAGTAATATGTAAGTACAGAACTTGAGCAAGAGCAGGAAAAAAAAAAAAAAAAAAACAGGAAAGTCACTGAGGGGAAGGGAATGGGCCAGTGAGGGCTCAGGTTTGGTTGGAGCCTGGGAATTCACAGTGACATTAATCTGCATAATTGCATGATTTTCTCCAGCAAAGCTCAGTCACTTTATAGGAGAAGCAAAGATGTATTAGAGTGACACATGGCTGGAATTTTTCTAAAGGAAGTATCAAAAGATGAGAGTAAATGGGACTTTAAAACATTTGTAAGGAAACAGTTCTGATTATAACACTCAAAGACTGTAGGATTAGTATGGAATAAATATGTTTTTAATGAAAAATAGTTTATAACCCTTTCAATTAACTTAAAAAAAGGTTCAATGTATGGCAAGTTGTTCTCTAATGCTCATTTTCAATATGCAAGAGTATAAAACTGTAGCTCTATCTTACCTAATACTATGCCAGAAAAAAGTAGAACCTACACTGACCAGCAGGACTCAATGTCCTCAATATCTAAATTTTTTCTCTATAAAAATAAGAATTAGACCAAAGGCCCTACTATTTTGAATAGCTTTCTTTTTATGACATCATCTTTCCCCTAAAGTCCTGGCTCTACATTTCTTATCATATTAACATAAATGTTCAAGAAAACATGATATAAAATCACAAAAGAAGAAAATAATTACTTGATCAAGGGAAATCTGGAGCTTGTAAGATTCTTTAAGAGACTCTTGAATAAGTGCACTGCTTGCTTTTGTCTGATTCAAAGATTCAATCAAGTCCTTATTTTCCAAAATATTGCCTTGAGATGTTGCAAGGGTCTATAAGAAAAATTAACAAGATATATAGACATTATTATACATATTACAGTGACCAATTAAAAAAAGCTCATATTAACTATCACTAATTTGACAATGTTTATGGGAATTTACCTCGTTTTAAAAGAACTTCAATATTTATGGCCTTGGTGGTGCAGTGGTCAACGCATTCATCTGCTAACCAAAACGTCAGCAGTTCAAACCTACCACCCACTCCATAGGAGAAAGATGAAGTAGTCTGCTTCCATAAAGATGTACATACAGCCTTGGAAACCCAATGGGGAAGTTCTTCTCTCTTCTCTGTTGTTGTTGTTGTTATGTGCCGTCGAGTCAGCCCTGACTCATAGCGACCCCTCGTTGGGTTTCCGAGGCAGTATCACTACGGAAGTAGGATTGCCCAACCTTCCTTCC